TGCAAACAAGTTTTTTCTTGACCTTGTTTATTCAATTGTGTTCCTTCATCAAAAGTATAGAGGCCATTCTCCTCTCTAGCACTGCCAATCATCCTCCCTGATGCCAGATCCTGAAAAATGCAATAAGAAGGATAAAACTTTACACAACACTGAAGGTCTTTAGTTATTTTGCTAATAGAGATAAGGTTGCAGGAAAGTTTTGGAACATGTAAGACTTTGGAAAGGTTAATGGATGAGGAAATTTTTATATTTCCCATCCCTGCTATGGCTGAAAAAGAGCCATCTGCAACCCTAACTTTCTTATCTCCTGCACAAGGTTGATAAGAAGAAAAAAACTTTGGAATGTAGGTCATGTGGTCTGTTGCACCTGAGTCAATGACCCAGGTGTTTTTTGGTTTTTCAGAACAAAAAAATGATGTTATTTTACCATTTTGGGCAAAAGAACAGGTAGGTTTTTCTTGGTTGGAGATTTTCTGGGTGAGTATGAATTTGAGTAGGTACTCTATCTGTTCCTGAGTGAATGGTAGCTGTTTAGATTCAACTCCTGACTCTTGTTGAGTCTCAGTCACAGTAGTTTGTAGGGCCTCTCTACTTTCTTCTTTCCAGCTCCTAGTGGTTTTCCATGAAGTTTCCCGCATGTATCCCTTGTGTGCCACAATTTCTTGCAGTGGTCACACCAAGGTTTTTTCTTGTTGTCATCACTTCTGGCCACCAAAGCTGAAGATTCCCCAGTATTCTGCCATCTTCCAACCTGATCTCTGAAAAGACCTCTCTGATTGAGGCCAAGGGTTTCTTCCCCAGTATTCTGCCTTTTACTTCATCTAGGTCTCTATTCATTCCTGCTAGGAACATATAGACCCTGTCATTTTCCTCTCTCTTCTTGTGTCTTGCCAGATCCTTGGCTCTTTCCCAGTCTTCAGCATCATAACATTGGTCCAACTCTTGCCATAGAGATACCATCTCATTATAATATGAGATGACATCTCTACTTCCTTGTTTGGACTGCCACAACCTTGTTTTTAATTCATAGATCTGAGAAGAATTCTCAAGATCTGAGTAGGTTTCTTTAATTGAATCCCATACCTCTTTTGCAGTTCTCATGAACATGTGAGGTTTGGCGATTGATGCATCCATTGAACTGAGAAGCCAGGCTGTTACCAAAGAGTTCTCTGACCTCCAGACATTGTAGCCATCTTCACCATTCTTCTTCTCCTCTACTTCACCCGTTATGTATCCCAACTTTCCTCTTCCATCTATTGCTAGTTTGACAGACTGTGACCACTCTAGGTAGTTGGTTCCATTCAATCTATGTCCAGTAATGAGCATAGATGAATTAACCGAGGCCTGGTAATTTGTCATTTGGCTAATTTGGGGGTTAGGGTGATGGGTTTGTGAGTGGGTGGAGGAATCAGAGTGTTCAGTGTCCACCATTATGGTGTTTTAAACAACAAGGCTCTGATACCATGTAAGTTTGAAGAATTAATCTTCCTTGTGTATTATTGAGCCATCCGGCAATGATATATATACAAGTTACAGATAAACTAAAGTTGTTACAGATCCTAAAAATTAGGATCTATCTATTCTATCTAATCTGCGAGCTAATCTAAGAATTAGAGACCTATATCAACTCTAATTCCTATCTATACAGTCCCGGATGTACAAATAATAAAAATAACATGTATATGCTACATTTTTCTACAACCAGCAAATGTTCTCATAAGACTGCAACTCTCTGGGGTTTGTCAGTATGAAAAAGGAACAGAGTTCATTGCTTTTCATATCACAAACAATTGGTACTGTAAGAATATCTCCCAAGTCCTAATGATCCCGGAAGTTTAAGGTCTACTGATTCTACTTTATCAATGCCTTTCAATTTTGTAAGCCCAGATGACCAATCAAGTTTAGGTATCCGTAAAACTTCTTCAAATCCAATTTCACTCCCACCATAGACCTTAACCGAACAACACACAGAATAACAGGAAACTTTTTACCTACAGATGATGGTTGTAAGTTTACAACACTATCATACTGATTTTCTGCCTTGTGGCCTTCCGAATAGTCTGGCAGAGATAAGTTCAAACAACCTCCAAACAGCCTCCTATTTTGCACTCATGCACCCTCTGTGATTGGCTGTAGCCTATTCTCAACAATGTGGTGAAGATTTTGACCAGGTCCTTGTGAAACATTATGATTATTAACATTTTGAGAAGTGACACGCAGAACTCTACCAAAAACCGAGTTGAAGAATTCCATAGAACCTTTAGAAACATCAGAAGCTGGGCATCCAAGAGAAACAGGAACTGCAGTTGTGCCAATTTCAGGTCCAACGACCACTGACAATTTCTCCTCGTTTTCATTGTCGCCTTCAGTGAGCTTCTCTGCATTTTCTCCAAATTGCAAAGCACTCCTATCATCAGAGGAAGGTTGCAGCAGGTTAACAGACTCGAAACGGAGCAGTGAAGCTTGCCAAGTGTGAGAATCCTAGGGCGATGGAGCTAGCGCAGAGTGAAACGCGGCTTGAGATTGAGAAGAAACCTGCCAACTCAGAGAAATGGATTGCGACGAAGAGGACTGGTGAGGAGCGGCTAGGGACTCGGAAGAAACCTGCGAAGGGTGAGTATAGGTGAGTGCAGAAATTAGCAAACGAAGATCTTCTGCTGGCGACGACGCTAGCGCAGTGTGCGACGCAGCTTGAGATGCCATCTGCGAACTGTTATAAGCCTTTCGCGATGTCGATTGATGAGGTACTAGTAGCGACGATGAACTGGAACTTGCTAGAGATTCAGAAGAAACCTGCGCACTTGGCGATTGAGAAGATTCTTGCGCAGGATGAACAAAATCTTTCGCACAAGAAATTTTTTCTCTTGGTCACGTCGTACTCTGATGCGAGTGGATAGCAGATGAAAACGCCTTCGGACTGAGATGCGAACTGAGAGAAGTAGTTCACACCTGTGAACTATGAGATACGACAATCGATGTGAGAAACGACGAAGATGGTGAAGACCTCTTCAGACGACTGTGAGAAACGGATCACGATGATGAACTTTGGGAAATTGCTATAGATGAAGATTGCGAACCAAGAGAATTCCTTGATGATCGCGACTCCTGGTTCTCTGACTTCTAACTATGTTGTTGAAAACGCCAATTTATGGCCTCCTTCAGAACCTTCCAACTCTTTCCTCTCGTTTGAAATTCCCACCATTGAAACCAGTCAAACGCCCTTTCCTCCATAGCCTCTGCTGCGACTTCAACTTTATTTTTCTCCGCAGTAGCTTTGAGACGGAAATACTCTTCCATCCTTACAATCCAGCTATCATCATCATCCCCGTTAAACAATGGTAGTTCAACCTTTATTCTCGTACGACCACTTTTATCGTGATTCACACCAGAACGAGACTGATCAGAATTTCTCGCGTCTCCGAGTAGCGAAGTGCGATGTGAAGAGTGCTGCGAGATGTGCGTTGTGAACGATGGATTCCTCGGTCGATTTTGGTTACTGTTAATCTTCGCGATTGTCTCCTGTAGCATCGCCAAGTTCATCGCAACTTTTTCCATCGCCAAGTTCATCGCAACTTTTTCTATCGCTAAGTTCATCGCAACTTTTTCCATCGATTTCTCCATCTTTGCTAGCGTACAGGGTACTCCCAGCGATTCACGTGCTCTGATACCATTGTTAGAACACTGGTAAATCCGACTCACAACACAATAGATTCAATAGGAAATTCACAAGAAACAAGATCAAGAAGAGTTTATTGAGTAGAAGAAAGTACAGATGGTATGCAATGCATAGGACTATTCGAGATGCCCAGTCTCCAAAGTCTAAGTCCAACCAAATGACAGCCTACCTATTTTCCTCCCCTCCTCTTCTATTTATACTATTACCTGTACACTTGCTATTCTTATTATTATTATTTCTTATTATTAGCCTACTAAGCCAGATTCCTATCAACATCAGACACAATAGATATAGAGTAACACCTCAAAGTCGACAGAAAACTTCATCAAGGCTCAAGAGCATGACACAACACTAGGTCAGCATCCTGGACCAAGTTTCATGAATCAAATAATAGATGTCCATCTTGGCCGACATCCAAGATGCCTTTGTCGAGATGAACAAGCCATGTCCTGCCCCTCGACCATGTTAACAACTGGTGACTGTAAAATCATAGACACCACCATTTTTTGGCTGGCAAAAACTCTCATATATTCATCAACACAAAGAAAACGATCATAAGAACCGGGCTAATAATAATAGAATTATATTAAGTAGTGTGATATTGTATAAATAAGGGTTCTGGGCCATGTCAGGAAATATGGGCCTGCCCTTAAGAATATAATTACTATAAGTGTGGGAAGGAGGGAATAAGGGAGTAGGCAGAATTTCAGTTGGAATTAGGCTGGGAGAGCGAGGCCTATCGAAGAGGCTCAATCTGTTTCTTCTCTTTCTATTCTCTTTGTACGCTGGTTTCCTGTTTCCTCCATTGTCGTTGGTTTAAGGAATTTAAGGATTTTTGGAGTTCTCTATCAAACGACCACTCCGTGCTACCCCGTTAGTCAAAATTAAAGTTCCTAGGTCCTACAATATGATGACAAGTGCGATCCTTTGACATGGGTAAACATTTTGTATCTTTTTCCACACAATTGCAACTAGTGTAAAACAGAGAGACATCATTAGTATACAAGGCCTTAGCTTGGTTTTATACCTTAGCAGTTGGCTCATGTCTTAAAGCTTAAAATAAAGGTACCAGTCCAGGAGATCTGGACAGCCATTGATAGTTGAGCCTCAACCCTACTGTCCTACACCAAATAGCCATTTCATTTTCTGAAACATTTTCTACCCCATTACTCAAGTGGTCAACAACCCTTGACCCATAAACCACTGAACCACAATCCAATAGCATCAGATCAAGATTAATAATTTTGTGATCCACTTAATTTTACAGAGGTCAGAAATTATAATTGAATGTGCATGCGTTTTTTGGTTGTTGTAATATGTCCAGGCATATCACAACAAATACAGTGTTGGTTTAACTGGCAGAAGCTTCATTACTGGATTTATTGAAAATCTGTTCAAATGCCAATCTGATAAAAGTAAGAGCTAAAGTTACTGTTGAAATCGTCAGAAGCTGAAGCTGAATAAGGATCTGGAGAAGATGGCCAGAAAATCTCGCTGGAAGAGACCTCATCTGCTGCCACATGGTGGCAGGGCAGTGGTATAATTGGGGTGTGTGGAGACAGAAATTGTTGGGGATCGGTTTTCAGGAAGATTAGGGATGATTCCCCTCCTCAACTCGCCCGAAACCTTCTTCTAAGAAGAGTAATGTGAGAAGTGGCTATCTTGTGAACAATGTTCCTTATTGTTCATGAGTCAGTTGAATGTTTGAAGTTCAAGACTGGTGTTGCTCTGATAACATGTTGACAAAGAAGAGCATAAAATAGATTTTTGTTTCAATTACATATTTACATCTCAGAGTGAATTCCAATATATATATATATACACTACAATTAGCCATCTAGATTCTTCATATGACTCAATATGAAATTTGTGCGAAATGAAAAACATTCTTGACCCTAGTTCATATTTCTCAACAAATCCAAATTTGATCATTGATTCTAGTAGCTCAAAATCTCAACCCTTTCTTCTGATGTTGTACGGTTTCTACCCCAGACCTTGGGCGAGATCTTGCAGGTGCACTATGATCACATTTTTCATCAACACACCTTTTGTCCCTTATACATTAAATCAGTGGTTTAAGCAGAAAATGTTGTATTTGTGAACTTGTGCCGGCAAAGCATGCTTCTTGTGCAGACTTTAGATTAAAATGCCAAACATGTTTAAACTGAACTTCTGAGGAAATCCTTGCACCTGTACCAATTCATTTTGTTGTGTTGTAAGTTTGTGACATTGTAAGCTATTTTTTAAACTTCGATTGCATGTAAACCAGTTGTTCAACTTCTCATTTTGTTTTTCTTGTTTTTACTTTTCTCATCATGTTTCTGAGCAAAGGGAGTTGAGCAGTTCCGCCAAGCTATATTGATATCACCTTTCAATATATCTGCTCATTATGGCCTTGCATCTGCACTTTTTTGTTTGGCAAAGGAATGCCTAAGCTCAGGTGCATTTAGATGGGGAGCTTCATCATTAGAGGTTAGATATACTTAACAATCTTGCCTCTCAAGGACTCCAGCTGTGCCTCTTATACACTTCTGTTATTCAAGAGATCATCATTTTCTAAAGTCTGAATTTTAATCTAGTTTAGGAGGCGTCTAAGGTCGCCATAACATGTGCATCATTAGCTGGTAACTTTTCATGCATATGGAAACTTCATGGTGATATACAGGTATATTTTTAGTTGTTCAATGATTAACTGATTACATTACCTTTCATTTTGATTTCATTACAAGAGAGAATACTTTTGTGCACTATAGTGTATACAAACATGTATTTGTACTTGTGAACTCAAAGGATTGTATGGAGAGGTGAAGTGTTTTGCCTAGGAAAGTTAAGTGGAGCATTCTAATGTGGAGGGATGGAGGCATTGTTTGTAATTGGGCAATGCAATTGTGCCTCATGGTGTGCCTCAACAAATTCCTGGACTATGGCATAAAAAGGCATTGCATATAGCGCTGGGAGTGTAGCATATGCAACATTGCAGTAGGCGTACACAGTATTGCATACACATAAAGGCACTGGGAGGTGTACGCAATAGGTCAGGGTATAAGGGAATTATTTGGGCCCACTTGGTCCACTTTTATTGTTTATAATTAATATCTTCTATTCTTCTGCGGTTATGATCCCTATCTCAAACCACTAGACAGTGGTGATTCAACTTTTCAGTCGTATATCTAATAAACTAAATTTTATAATATGTTAGCAATTATGTATTGATGAACGGTTATGAAATTTTGCTATATTGTGGTTGGAACTTTGAAATTATTTTGCTAGGGTTATGGCCTCAATATAATGTGTTTTAATATGACATTTGATGGCTTTTGATGAATAAATTGTTTTAGTTCTTTTTGTGTATATATACACATACACGCACGCACACACATGTTGCACCTTAGTCATACGCCTCACGGCGCAGCGAGGCTTACGCAATATGCAATTTTTAAAGAACACCATGACTATGCAATACACAATTTCGAACCTTGTGTGGAGGGGTATAGAATAGTGTGATGTCATACATACCATCAAGGCATCAATATATTCAACAACAAAAGCATGCACTCTTTTCGAACTTTTTGAGTGTGTGTGTATGTGTATATATAAATTATAAATGTGTGTGTGTACATATATATAAGGAAGAGTTCTTATGAGAACTCTTCTTAGAATGAGAACTTCTAATCTCCATCTTTAATTTTTATATTCATTGGCTAATATTGACAAGGTATCATTTTTGTAATTATTTAGGAATACTTGCAAAAGAACTCCATTTGAATTTAGAGTAATGATGAATATGATCCAATGTGAATATTAACCAATGATTGCAATCATAGTAGTCAATGGTGAGATATGGCGCGCGCCATATGCGCCATCGCCATGCGCCATGAAAAATGCCTTTGAGCCATGGCGATCGCCATGCGCCATAACAACTATGATTGCAATAAACAATAGATTGAGATTAAAAGTTCACATTATATGGAGTTCTCATTTTAGAAGGGGTTCTCACTAGAACCTTCCCCTATGCATATGTATATATATAGTAGGCAAACCACCAAAATCAGTGGGGTGCCGCAGAACATTTTCCAAATTTTATTAAAAATACACAATACAAGTTAGATGGGACTTAAAACCAAAGCCTCCCATGAAGGCATCCTTTCAAAAAAACATTAACGAGATTATCAATATAATGAGATATAAACTAAAGATAAATCTTAATGCACCAAATATCGAACCCCATCTATGTCAATTTCGTAAAACGATTTGTTAAGAACACTCGTGCAAAATCTCGTCCAAGCCCGAGATCTCCAAACTTATGCCCCCCATTTAGTTTTAAGTAACAGTCTTGCCTGCTACCTGAAACAGTTCACCCTTGTGTTCTCTGAAGGAAAGGCTTCAAATGCAGATTCTACCAATGAGGCCTCATTTTCTGCTTCCTGAACCCCTTTGTTAATGTTATCGAAAACCTCTACATTCCATTTTTTACGATCAGCTTTCAAAGCTTTCAGTTTTCCCATCAAACTGTGCATTCCTCTGACAGTAGGATATGAAATCCCCCGACTAGAAACATAATTAGAGAAACCATGGTGAAAGATGCACATATGAAATCCCTTGACATCATACTTGATACATTCAACATTGTATTCTATAAAGATTGATTTTTCTGACATTGCTTGCTCTAAATGAAGTCGCTTTTCCTCCTTAGCTCATGTATGCAAAATGTTTCCCTTGGATCGATAAAGGATGTGGCTCACAATCAGATGAGGAAGCATTTACTAATTCAATCTTTTCCTGGAAGAGAGCCTGCTGGATAGCTGCAGTGTCAGCCAGGTGTTCTTATCAAAGGGCTTTACATTTTACTCCTTGGCTAGCGAACTGTTATACTGATGTTGCCATTGCATCGGAGCTCAGTTTTTCTTTGAAGGAGAGTCATACAAATGATTTAAATACTTGGTATACATTTTGTGTCATCTCTTGGTGTGCTGTGCGTAGTTTGTACATATTTCACTCATTTATTTCTTGCTTATTTGCCAGGCCCCTGTCTGAAAAGATGTGCCTTGGGGGGTTATTGCTTGATGGTTGCAATAATGAGTTTTGGGTGGCTTTGGGATGTCTATCATATCGCACAGTGTTGAAACAACATGCTTTTATAAGAGGCTTGCAGTTGGATGTCTCTGTGGCTGTCGCATGGGCATACCTTGGAAGTGTAATACACTTTCATTTTTTGAGAATGTGATGATTTATTACACCATGAAAATGTTATAATCTTGGAGAAAGTGGGATAACTTGTTTCACTTTATAACTTAGTTGGCGCTTGGTTACCAAGTACTAGGAAGGGTTGGAGTGCACTTAGTCCTTACGCCTTGTACAAGCCTTTTGAAAATACACTAATAATAATGAAAGTCTTATATATCACATGGTCTTTTTTCCACCAGTTTGATGTCTAGTATTTTGATGGTTTGATCACAGTAGTTACATTCTTAGGAGAGACTGCATCACTTATTCACAGTAGTTGCAATCCTTAATGGGGAAAATTGCACCTTGTTATTGGTCATTTACTCTCTTGTTGTTAATCCCCACCCAATCATCTGAAGGGGTGAAAAGAACATCTTGTTGTTATCCTGGAAGGAGGGAGTTGCATCTTGCCCATTGGTCATTAAATCTTGTGCTCAGTGTCCACCTAATCATCTTAAGCGGTGAAAAAGAACATCATATTGTTCATCTGATTGCATAATCTCATCATTAATTCTTAGAAGCAACCACATAGTTGTATTTTCAGGTCCTCATTTCTTCAATCTTATAATCCTATCCCTCACTTTTCCTTCTTTGATTAATTGACTACATAATCACTGTTAAGTGTTGATAAGAACAAAACACTCCAGCACAATTTGGGAGATATATTACTAGAAATCTGATAGGAATCTGGCTAATAATAATAAAATGTTGATAATAATAATTGTACGGGTAGAGGTCGATTGAGAGGCCAGAATAACAAGCTGAAAGGCCAGAATCGCCGGCGACCTAGGGGTGATTGAGGACCGTGGGACGGCGCCGGAATTCTGAAAACAAGGGCTCTTCGTCATCGCTAGCCGCGACTCACAGTTCCAGTTCGCCGTCACTACTCGTTCCTCACTGATTGCCATCATGAGAGGCTTCTACTGGTTCACAGATGACATTGCAAGCCACGTCTCTATCCAGACTCCAGAATCAGGGAATGGATTGCTGGGGACTCCACCGCTGACAAAGAACACTTAGTTGATGTCGGCTTAAACGTCGATCATGGAACCATATTCAGAAGATGATACAACTCAACCGTCCCCACTTGCAATGCTTTCGCAGAATCAGAGGAAAGTTGATCCTAGAGTTCCTAATGGCGAAAGTTCCAATCAACGTGGCACTAAAAGTACTCGAAATTCTACCACGAGGGGTGTGGAGGTTCTGGTATTTCCTATTAGGACTATGGTTGCTGCAGTTCATGCTTCGCTTGGACACACAGTTTCTGAAGCTTCTCAAAGTTCTATGGAATCCTTCAACTCAGTTTTGGGTAAAGTTTATCATGTTACTTCTGAAAATGGTAATAATTCAAATGCCTCACAATGATCTAATCAAAATTTCTCCACAATGTTGAGTTTGGACTAAATATGAGGTTGTTTGGAGTTACTGTCAATCTTAGGTCAATGAGTGAAGTGTCAAAGAGAGTTGAAGCCTTTTCTAGCTCAGTACTCTCTGATGAGCAGATTCAGGTAGAGGAGAATGCTGGTGTTCATGCCAGGTGTTCATGGCATGAACACAAATTCTGCTACTGGTGAGTATGACTTTACTCAAAAGTCAAAACCCTGCTTCTTAAGAGACAGAAGCAACTACCTAATTCAGAAAGCTGCTTGCGATGGAGCGTAGCCTGCAAATTAATGCTCTTATTAGTAGAAATTCAACAATGATTGGGGTTGGCATGTGCATGGAAGGAATAAAACATAATCCAGTTGCATATGAGCTGATGTTGGAAATGTATTCAGGAGCCACAATTTTGATATGAAGACATGGTTGAAATCCTACTCTACTAGAAGATATGGTCAAGCAGTTGGTCAAGTTGAAGCTGTTGGGGAGATACTTTATCACACAGTGATAGCACAAGGGGTGTAGAGTATTTTAATAAAGTGTATGTGAGGAGGGGAATGAAGGGACAGGAGTTTATGTGAGGAGGGGAATGAGGGGGCGGGAGTAATTAATGTGCTGGTTTAGTTTCTGAATATAAGGAAGGGAGGGGAATAGGGGAGGGCAGGCTGGTATTCAGTTAGAAATGGCTGGGCTTTGGCTAGAGAGAAACTCCTTGTTCCTTCTCTAGATTTGGTTGTTATTCTCTTTATCTTCCCTGTAATCATTCTGGAGTATTGAGAATTCCTCAATCTCCATTGCTAATAATACGGAAACTGTTTGCTGATATTAGTGTCTAACATTGGTATCAAAGCGGTCCGTTCCCGCGGACTGTGAATGAGATTGACGCGTTCAAAAATGGAACATCGAGTTGAGAATCTCGAACAAAGTGTTAACCACATCGAGCAGAAACTGGAACGCAACTGTACAGAGGTGCGCACGATCTCAGACAAGTTGGATGGAGTGATGGCCGAACTGCGCCTTATCGCGACCAACCAGAGTCATCGACGATCCAGGGGGAGGTCGCGTACGACTAAGCGAACGGGTACACGTACTCGGACAAGGGAGTCGCACTCTGGAGGTAATTCTCACAGTGCGTCAGTTTCGTCTCACGAATCAGGTGATACGCGTGTCAATCGCGGATTTGAGAGGACGGGAAGGAAGGTAGATCTGCCTCTTTTCAACGGAGTTGATGTTCATGGTTGGATTATTAAAGTGGAATGCTTCTTCAAGTTGAACCAGGTGCACAATCAGGAAAAAGTGGAGCTGGTTGTCCTGGCCATGGAGGAAAAAGCCCTGAACTGGTTCCAGTGGTGGGAAAAACAAAATGAGGAGAAATCTTGGGAGGAATTTAAAGGAGCACTAATACGGAGATTTCAACCAGAACTGCTGCAGAATCCTTATGGACCGATGCTAAGCATTAAACAAACTGGATCGGTAATGGAATATAGAGAACGTTTTGAACTGGTGGTAGGTCCAATGAAGCATATTGATGAGGAAATACTCAAAGGAATTTACCTTAATGGCCTGAAGGAAGAGGTGAAGGCTGAACTCAAATTGTACCCAAATGCTACTCTGCCTGAACTGATAGATATCTAGCTGGTGTTAGAAGGGAAGAATGCTGCATTTCGAGGGGAAAAATACAAGGAGGGGGACCAGAGGAGTGGAAAGGAGAAGGGAGAGGCACTGAAGAAACCACAACAGTGGATAGATGGCAGCAAATGGAGATCCCAAACTAATATTCAAGCGTCTCAGGAAAAATCGGGAGTTGAGCCTAAGGTGGGAGTTAAACCGGATCTCAATAATAACAGGAAGGGTGGCCAGAGGCTAACACAAGCAGATTTACAAGACAGAAGCAAGAAGGGGCTATGTTTCAAATGCGGGGAAAGATGGGGCAAGGATCATGTGTGCAAAATGAAATACTACCAGTTTATTCTCAGAGGGGCCTGAGGAAGAAGCAGATACTATGGATTCAGAAGTGAATTTGAAAGAGACAGATATCTCCCTAGAACCGCAACAAATGCAACTGTCAGACATGAGCAAACAAGGGATCACTACACAGAAGACTTTCAAGTTGGAAGGGAAATTGATGGAAAAGGGGTTACACAGATTTGTGTTGATCCTGATTGACAGTGGAGCCACCCATAATTTCGTATCACAAGCCATAGTAGAGGAATTACAATTGCCATACATCCAAATTGATGGATTTCAGGTGGAATTGGGTAATGGGGACAGAGTGAGCAACAATAGGAGGTGTGTGGGATTGCAGGTTGGGGTGCAAGGCCTTAATATTACAGAAAACTTCTACCTGTTGGAGCTGGGAGGGACAGATTTAGTGTTTGGGGTTGAATGGCTTGCCAGTTTGGGGAATGTAGAGATCAATTTCCAGGATCTCACACTTCAGTGGTGGGAAGACGGGAAAATAAAGAGCCTAAAAGGGGATCCAACTTTAAGTCAAGTGCAAGTTTCCTGGAAAGCACTTGTAAAGGCTATTAAAAATGAAGGCCAAGGTTTTTTTGTGACTTGTGGGAACCTTCAGGGTGAATCTGTTAATGGGGCTGCACCAGGAGGATTTTGGCAGGAAGTGTTGGACAAGCATAAGGAGGTTTTTCAAATGCCAGCAGGGTTACCCCCTAAAAGAAGTTGTGATCATGCTATCAGCATAAGGAGGTTTTTCAAATGATAGCACAAGGGGTGTAGAGTATTTTAATAATGTGTATGTGAGGAGGGGAATGAAGGGACGGGAGTTTATGTGAGGAGGGGAATGAGGGGGCGGGAGTAATTAATGTGCTGGTTTGGTTTCTGAATATAAGGAAGGGAGGGGAATAGGGGAGGGCAGACTGGTATTCAGTTAGAAATGGCTGGGCTTTGGCTAGAGAGAAACTCCTTGTTCCTTCTCTAGATTTGGTTGTTATTCTCTTTATCTTCCCTGTAATCATTCTGGAGTATTGAGAATTCCTCAATCTCCATTGCTAATAATACGGAAACTGTTTGCTGATATTAGTGTCTAACACACAGTATACAATTGCAGAGGATAGAATTGCTGACCACAACAAGGATTACATAGTAGAAACTCCTGCCTTGGATCCATCACTTGATACCAGACTGATAGGAATTTGGCTTAGTAGACTAATAATAGAAAAAATAATAGTAAGTGTACATGTAGTGGTATAAATAGAAGGGGAGAGGAGTAAAAGGCAGGCAGTTATTTTGAGATGGGAATAGATTTGGAGACTGGGCATCTTGAATTGTCTGTGGCTACTGTATCCCTTTTGTTCGGTTCATCATATTAAATTAAGCTTTCGATCTGTTCTTCTACAATTTCTACTGATTTCTATATTGTTCTGAGTATCGATTATCAGTGTTCTATCATTGGTATCAAAGCATCATTTCTGGTGATTGGAACCGTAGGCGCAATATCAGAAAATTTTCGTTTCAGTTATGAAAGGTCCGGAAGAGAGCCAAAAAAAATGGAGAACATAATGGAAACCATAGAGCGGAACCTTACCTCGATGAAAGAAATAGCAACGACCATGGCAGGGATGCAGGCGAGCA